CCTCCGGGGCACCGATCACCTCGGCCTCACCGGGCGAGGCGGCCTCTTCCACCCCGTTGCGCCGATGAGCAAACCGAGGCGCAGAGCTCGGGCGGCAGCCAGGACTTGAGCCCGAGTTGACCCCAAGTGCTACAGCCCAGCATCGCCCCGCGCCCCACCCGTCCCCGAGCGCACGCTGCGGGTTCCCGGGCCCAGAAAGCCCCAGCGCTTGCGCAGCACGCGGCGTGCGAGCGCATCCGTGCTGTAAAGGAGGAAACTGAGGCTCGGGCACGCAAGCGGTGGTGGAGTCCTCTCTCCCAGGCCGGTACGGGACGCCGTCCCTTCTCTCATTACCTCTAATTTGCTCTTCCCTTTCTGCTCGCCTCACCTCTGCCTTCCAACTCCTCTGGACTCCACCCGGGGGCTCCACCCGGCCGAGGACCCCGCCCTCGCCCTCGTGTCTGCGGCGCCCTCTGTCGGTGATCTGGGGCTGGTGCGGGCCTGTCGCGGGACAGGCTGGCCTCGAGGGGCCGTGGGGCCGCCCAGGGGGCCTTGAACCCCGTGCCGGTCCTAGCGGGCTTTGTGGACGCTAGTCCTCACCCTCGGCTCCCTCAGGAGTTACCTACACACACGTACACGCAAAACCCTCCCCTCTGAGGTGATCGACGCCTGGTGCCGTATAGGCGGCCCCACGAGAAGTAAAATGAACTCACCTTCTCAGCGGAAAGAGACATTTCAAAGCACAAGTTCAATCTCCGTCTGTTTGTTTGTGTGTTTTGACTCGGAGTCTCATTCTGTCCCCAGGCTGGAGTGCAGTGGTATAATCACGGTTCATCCCAGCCTCCACTTCCTGGGCTTTGGTGTCCTTCCACCTCAGCCTCCCAAGTAGCTGGGACTGCAGGCACGCCACCATGCCTGGCTAAAATTTTTATTTTTTTTGTAGAGATGAGGTCTCACTACATTGCCCAGACTAGTCTAGAACTCCTGGGCTTAAGCGACCCTCCTACCCCGGCCTCCCAACGTGCTGGGATTACAGGCATGAACCACCACTCCTGGCCTCCATCTGTTGCAGAGAAAGAAAACTGAGACCTCAGGAGCGGAAATGCTTTGCTCCAGGGTCACATGGCAGGAAAGAAGCAGAGCTGTGACTAGAAGGCAGGCCCCTGCCTGCTAGCCCCTGCTAAGGCCTCTTCCCACCTGGCCCACGCTGGCCTCCCGATGGAGTCCACGGGGAGGAGGAGCTGCCCGCAGGCTTTTCCCCCAGCCACCCTAGTGACTCAGGGTAGCCCAGACAGACTCCTCAAACTCCTCTGGGTCTCTAGGGGTGGAGTGGGTTCTTTCCCAGGGACGTGGAAAAGAGAAACATGGCAGAGGCAGGAGGGTCAGGAGGCAGAAAGAAGCAAGTGAATGACAAGGGTCCTGTCTTACAATCACTTGTCCCTTCCTGCCCTGCAGGGTCTATTCTTAGGGTGACCCTGTGTCACCCTAACTGGAGCACTTTTGAGAGTATAGAAGGTGCTAACTGCCTCCCACCCAGCCAGGACAACAGGCATAATCTAGGCTATAGACAGCAGGTGTCAATGGGGCCTGGGTTAGAAGGTCACCTTCTCTTCGAGCCCTGGATGTAGATGCTACGTCTAGTGACTTCTTCGTCAGCATCGCTGGCTCGCCTCACCTGAACCCTCCACTCCAGCTCTGTCCCTTCACACCCACCAAGGATGCACAGCCACTTCCATTTCCACAGTCACACTCCAGCTTGGTCTTCTTTGATTTTCTATCCTGGCTGAGGATGTCACCTTTTTCCTGGTCCTGCAACCTGGAAATCTTCTCCTTGATGCTCACACTTGCTGCCAGATCCTGGCAATTCCGTTCCTGCCATGAGTCCTGGAGCCCCTGCCTCCTCCTGTGCCTTCTCCCCTAGGCCACCCTTCATATTTCATACCAAACTCCATGGCTCTGGATTTTGTCTGAGTTAGGGACAAGACAGGTATGAGCCATCAGGCAGGTCCACCTGACTCAGTGGACCTGCTCATCACTGTTGCAGAACATTCCAGAACCTCTCCAGGGCTTCCTAACTGTTGGCAAATCTTCAGGGCAAGTGCCCAGACACACATCCCTTGATTTGCTTGAGAATTAGGAGCCCTTGCAGGGAGGTACTCAGCTTCCCTTAGAGTCAGAAACACTCAGGCCTTTCCTGGGACTGAGATTGCTGGACAGAGGCTGGCAGGAAGCAGAGCCAGGAAGGCACCATGAGGGAGGAAGATACTGAGCAGAGAGGCCAGGCTGCGCGGTGGGGTGTGACTGCGAGAGAGCCAGGGGCCTAGGTGGTATGTGAGGCTGGGCCTGTGCTTCCCCCTCCAGGCGAGTCTTTGGGAAAAAAGGGCTGAGGGGCAGAGGAGAGAGCCAGCCACGGGGGTCCCTCCTGCTCTGCTGTGGGCTCCACTCTGACAGCAGTCCTGACAGGTAGATTGCTCTTCCCTACCAGCTGGAAGGGAGGAGGAGACAAGAGAGGGGGTTGGCCTGGAGGGGTCAGGGAGGGTCACAGCCCTGCCAGAGGCCCACTGCTGGCCAGAGGTCATGGCAGAGGCTGGCTGAGCTGCCCATGAGCAGTGCAGAGTACTCAGGGGCACAGAGAGATAGGGAATGCTGCCACTATGGGCACAACACTCCCCATCTAGAGGACAGATGGCCTTTTCTGGGCCCATGAACTGGAGGAGGCCAGGGACCATTTGGGTAAGCACCTCTGAGAAGTCTAGGGAATAGTGTCTAACTTTTTATTTCAGAAGAGCCCAAAAGCAGGCAGAGCTAGAGTGCTGTGAATTCCCACGCACCCGTCTCTCGGCCCCAACACTTACCAACCTGGGCTGATCCTATTTCTGTGTACCTGTTTACTCCCCTTCCTCACTGATTTGAAAACACACAAGCAAAAAACAGCTTTGTGTTGTCATTGTTGTTGTCTGAGTCAGGGTCTCATTCTGTTGCCCAGGCTGAAGTACAATGGCACAATCACCGTTCACCAAAGCCTCAACCTCCTGGGCTCAATTGATCCTTCTGCCTCAGCCTCCCCAAGTAGCTGGGACTACAGGTGTCTGCCAATATGCCCGGCTAATTTTTTTAACTTTTTCCTAGAGACAAGGTCTCACTATGTTTCCCAGGCTGGGGTTTTTTTTGTTTGTTTGTTTGTTTGTTTTGAGTTGGAGTCTCACTCTGCCGCCCAGACTGGAGTGCAATGGCCACTCCCGGCCACCGCAACCTCGACCTGCCGGGCTCGGACGATCCTTCCGCCTCAGCCTTCCGAGTAGCCGAAACTACAGGCGCACGCTAGCATGCCCGGCTGGTTTTTGATTTATTGTAGAGATGAGGTCTCACCAAGTTGCCCAGGCGGGTCTCGAACCCCGCGGGCTCAGGCAATTCACTCACCTCAGCCTCCCCAGGCACGGGATTACAGGCTTGAACCACCGAGCCCGGCTCCCAGGCTGGTTTTGAACTCCTGGACACAAGTGGTCCTCCCAACTTGGCCTTTCAAAGTGTTGGGATTATAGGTGTGAGCCACCAAGCTCAGCCAATGTTGTGCTTCTATAAACTTCCTGATTCCATCCATTTTCATTTGAATGGAATAATAAAATATATGGTCTTCTGGGGCTGGCTTCTTTTACTTAGCATAAGTCTTCAAGTTTCATTCAGGTATTTGCTTCATTCCTTTTGATTGCTGAATAACACCCCATAACATGAATACACCGCATTTTATTTGTCCAGTCATCAGTTGATGGATTGGGGGTTGTTTCTGCTTTTTTGGCTATCGTGAATAATGCTGCTGTAAGCATTTGTGTATGAGCTTTCGTCTAGACATAGGTTTTCACTTCTCTACCTAGGGTAGAATTCCTGGATCATATACAGAGGGTACCAAAAAAATGTAAACCCTTGCTTATTTTTCTTTTTTAAGTCAGGGTCTCACTATCATCCAGGTTGGAGTGCAGTGGCACACTCATGGCCATCACAGCCTCAACCTGCAGTACTCAGGCGATCCTTCCACCTCAGCCTTCCAAGTAGCTGGACCTACAGGCACACACCACCACGCCCAGCTAATTTTTTGATTTATTTTAGAGACGAGGTCTCGCCAAGTTGCCCCGGGTAGTCTTGAACCCTGGGCTCAGGCAATCCTCTCACCTCAGTCTCCCAAAGTGCTGGGCCTGGGATTACAGGCATGAGCCACCACACCTGGCATGTATACATACTTTAAGAAAGGGAAAAAGCTGTATTAAAATTGTAATACGCAATGAGATGAATAAGTCACATTTGACTTCTGCAATTACAAGAGGTGCTCAAAGTGGTTACCATCAATGTCCAGACACTTCTAATTACGGCAAACATCTCTTAAAATGTGTAGGCATTTTTTGTGTGTTTGTTTGGCACCCTTGGTAGTAACTATGTTTAACTTTTGGAAGAACTGACAAACCGCTTTCCAAAGTGACTGTACTATTTAACATTCCCATCAGCATTATGTGACAGTTCCCGTTTTTCCACATCCTTGTCAATACTTGTTCTTTTCTGTCTTTTGTGGCTTTTGTTTTTGTGTTTGTTTTGAGTCTGAGTCTTACTCTGTCATCAAGGCTGAAGCACAGCGACATGCTTACGGTTACCGCAGCCTCAACCTGCTGGGCTCAGGTGATCCTCCCGCCTCAGCCTTCCAAGTAGCTGGAAACACAGATGCGCGCCACCATACCCAACTAATTTTTTATTGATTGTTGAGGCAAGGTCTCACCAAATTGCCCAGGCTGGTCTCAAACCCCTGGACTCAGGCAATCCTCTTGTCTCCGCCTCCCAAAGTGCTGGGATTATAGGTGTAAGCCACCACGCCCAGCCTGTCTTTTTGGTTATAGCCATCCCAGTGAGTGTGAATTGCTCTGGTTGTGGTTTTGACTTACATTTTCCCTATTGATTAATGATGTTCAGTATCTTTTCATGTGTTTATTGGACATTTATAGATCTTCTTTGAAGAAATGGCTGTTCAAATCCTAGCTGGCCACGGTGGTGTGAGCCTGTAGTTCCAGCTCCTTAAAAAGTCTGAGGCAGAAGGATCACCTTGAGTTCAGGAGGTCATGATTGCAGTGAGCCGTGGTCTTGCCACTGCACTCCAGCACAAGTGGCAAAATAAGACTCCAACTCAAAAAAACAGACAAACAAACACACAAAAGTCTATTCAAATCCCTGACCATTGGTTCATTCCTTGGTTTCAGCCCCAAACACACAAACAACACACACTCACAAATCCTTTGCCCATTTTAAAATTAGATTATTTGTCTTTTATTACTGAATTTCAAAATTTCTTCATCTATTCTACATAAAGTCCTTTATCAGCGATATCATTTGTGAATATTTTCTCCCATTCTATGGGTTGTCTTTCACTTGAGTTATTGTTTTCAGCACAAAACTTTTTTGCCACAGTCCAATGTATCCATTTTTTCTTTTGTTTGTGCTTTTGGCATCATATCTAACAAACCATTGTTTAACTCAGGCTACAAAGTTTTACTCCTGTGTTTTCCTCCAAGAGTGTCATAGTTTGAGCTCTTACATTCCGGTCTATGACCCATTTTGAGTTCGTTTTTTTTTTTGAGTTGGAGTTTCACTCCGTCGCCCAGACTGGAGTGCCGTGGCCGCTCCCAAACACCACAGCATCGACCCTCTGGGCCCGGCGATCCTTCCATCTCAGCCTTCCAAGTAGCTGGAACTACAGGCGCGCGCTACCACGCCCGGCTGATTTTTTATTTACTGTAGAGATGAG